TATCTCTCTGCATATATTCACATATTCTAAAACTACATGAAGTTTGGATTCTGAACCTTTTCCAATTCCACGCATTTCAGGTAAGGGGTATGTCACCTCTATACTACTACAGTTGGCTCTTGAGTGACTTCTTGTTCATCCTGTGAACGATTTTATCAATATACACCAGCTAGAGCCTGATATTCCCCTCAAGCCCCAATGCGGGGAATTCACCCTGTTCTCTGAATCCATTCACTCCACCACTGCTTAGTGGCTTCATGGCAAGAAAGTTAGTTTCTGCGGCTTCTCAAGTGCTGATGAGCTGACTGCTTCCCTTTACGAAGAGTTTTCTTTCAAACTAATCTTAGAAGCATAAGAATGAGATACATTTGAAATCCTAGTTAGATTAAGATATTATTCTTGTTTTAAAGAAACTTCATCAATGGAATACTTGCTTTCTTATTAAATCCTTTGAACCAGGTACCACTTGTCTGAGAAATCCCAAAATCATTTGGTAATAAAATTGTAAAGCCATATGTACACACCTACCAATGTAATACTTACCACTATATATTCAAAAGTCTTTAAAATGAGACTTTTTCTACCAGAGAAACTACTTGGAGTAAGTCACTCCGACACTTTAAAACCACATTTCTTCTTGATGGAATTTATGTAAATATCAGAACCAAATATAATCCTAGGCAAGCAACAGACAACTTATCTTCAATACTTGCTAATTAAAGTGAAATATTTAACTCCAAATTGAGGCACACAAAAGCATGTAAGTATGTGATTAAGGAGTCAAATTTCAGATCTATGAATGTTCTTTTTTATCTGGCTGTCTTTTAAATATCTTTCAGCTAATCCGGGATTCAACTATCATATGGTTTTCCAGTAAAAGATGAAAGTAAAATAAAATGTGAAGCTAAAATGAGTCTGTCAGGGTAGATCTAAAGTGGTCCCTTCTCTTCCCTGCAGAAAGAAAAATTACCAGTTTCTTACATTTGCTCAACACAGTGCTGATCAGGACTCTTGGGCTATTTTCTGGCAGAGGACTTAGCTGTTGGTTTTTTAAAATTTTATTGTGCATATTTAAAATGTACAAAATAATGTTATGAGAAGGTACAAGTTGTTGAGATCAAGAGAGACGATTTGGGACAGGAGAGGCCCAACAAAAGGGATCAATTTTCTTGTATTGATTTCTACTCTTTTTACAGAAAATGTTTTCTTTCATAAGGAATTCTTTGCTCTGGTATATCATAATTAAAAGTGTAGAAATTCCAGACATAATAAAGAAATAGAAACTATCACACTGCTATATAGAACATTGTTATGCTAATCTTTATCCACTCAACCATCAACTCGATGGCATTGGGCTACGTGCAGCTATATTCATTTTACCATTGAAATTACAGATTTTTAAAGAAAAACTCTTACTATAAATATAAACAGAGAAGTTTCAGCAACCTTGGTAAGTACTGATATACAACAGGTGCTGTTTTTGGTGGCAAAAAAAAAAAAAAAGAACCTAGTAATTGGTGGGGCATAGAAAGAGCACAAGGCATAGGCCATTCTCTGGCCACTCCCTCATTCTCCATTGTACAGTTCCAAGAACACCTGCATGATAAAGGCTCAGTCACAAGGCTGAGACAGCTGCTAGTCTGCAGCAGCCTCATAACGTCAAAGGCAATTTTTGCTATGTTTGGATCATATCCAAAAATATCAAAAGACTCATTCTTAGAAATAACAGAAGATTAAGAGTAGATTTCAGTTTTATTGTTCTCATATACTAATGACACTGAGGACAGAGTCCGAAAGTTCTTCTGTTCAGAACAAAGATGGATGCCTACCATCAATAAAACATTACAGGGATTCTAAACTAAGTTTCAGACAAACATTTAAAAGGTAATATTTTCCAGGCAGTGGTGGCGCATGCCTTAATCCCAGCACTCAGGAGGCAGAGGCAAGTGATCTCTGTGAGTTCAAGGCCAGCCTGGTCTACAAGAGCTAGTTCCAAGACTGGCTCCAAAGCTACCGTGAAACTCTGTCTTGAAAATATAAATAAATAACTAATAATAAAAATAAAATAAAAAATAAGATTAAAAGGGCCAGAAAGGTGGCACTTACCAAATACCTGAGTTCAGTTCTCAGTACTCATATTGGGTGGCTCACAACTACCTGTAACTTCAGGTTCATGGGATCCAGCACTCTCTTCTGACCTCCATGGATACACACACACACACACAAACACACACACATAATTAAAAATAAATTTTTTAAAAAGATAAGCATAAACAACAGAAAAAGTGCCAGTTTCTTCTCTTAAAGCAAGGATATTTTCTATCAATATTTTTTCTTGAAATATATTTTATAGTTAATTTGGCCAGAACTATATTACATAAGCTTGATTCAACAAGAAAATTTAGTATATCATTACATTTCTACTTTCTTCCTTTTTTAATTTCTTATTCTTCTTCCTTATCCTTGGTGTCTTGTGCCTTTCCCTTAGCTTTCAGAATGTTGCCCCAAATAAGTTTGAAAAGTCTGGAGAACATCAAAGCCCAGGAAGTTCTACTTCTACATCTTTCAGGGATGCTTAGATGGCAGAAGCCCTACTCACACAATGAAGTGAGTTACAGGAGAAAAGATGTGGAACATTACAGATACAGAATTTGCTAATCATCTTCCCTGAAGCTAGGACTGCCTTTTCTCTATTTGATTATGACATAGAAAGAAAAACAGGCAACTTACTACTGAAACAAGCGTTTTCATCTAGTGTCTCTGTAGGTCCGAAGGGTTTCCAGTCTATTGGTTATGTAGTAGTTAATGCTCTGTGTAAGGCAAAAACAGCCCTTTGACCAAAGAAGGTTTTGCAATGTTTCTTTATGATGGGGCAGAAAGACCAGTATTTCTGTGTGTGGCGTGTGAGTCGCTGTTTGTGTTTGGTTGCAAGGAAGATTAGCAAGAATGGGACATTAACAAAAGAATGTTATAAATTGTTTTATTGGCGTTTGAAATGAGTTCCAGGGTCCAGTGATAAATGCAGCTCCCATTAGCTGTTTTTTTTTTTTTTTTTTGATAGCTAAGCATTTTAGGTTACTGATAGATAAATGTATCTACATTATAGTACAGTGAACCTTAAGACAAATCAGCATTCACTGCAAATGTGATTTTGTTTAAAATATTAGAATTATTGATTTCAAAATGTTAGGAAAGAAGTGCTTAGCTTGTTGTCATAGGAAAGTATAGCATTCTGAATCACCCTCTTTTCCTCGAGATATCAGTGACCAGGGATACCTACTGAGACTTCCACCAGCCTTCACAGCAAATCTTAACTGTGCTCAAATTCTCACTTCTCAGCTGGGAGATGCTTCAAAGGAACTCTGGGGAGAGGGCTTTTCTTCACTTCCTATGTCCCCGAAATACTCCCTGTCTTTTCCTTGCACCAAGTAACTCTTCTTTCTCTCTGAGCTCACATGATTGTTTCAACCTCACACTGAAGCACAAGTTCATCTCTTTTTTGAAATCTTAATCGCTAGGTCTAAATTTGTCCTTTGGGGCTGTTACAACAAAGTGCTATCGCTTGTGGACTGGCGAGGTGCTCCAACAGTTAAAGCATACCCTCTACTCCTCGAGAGCAGCTGATTTCAGTTCCTAGCACCACCAGTGTTGGTTGACAGAGATCCCACACCCTCTCTGGACTCCACAGGCACCTTCACACATGTGGTATATACACATACACACACCCACACCCACACATGCAAATTAAAAATAATAAATCGTAATAATTACAGATTTGGTAAGAAAAGCAAGAGAATTTTATTTTGTTTAATAGAATTCCGACATCAAAATGCAAGCTACTCTCATGTGACAGTAAGGAGAAGCAAGCTCCCTGTGGCCTGTCTGAGACAGTGGTACTCAACTCATTCATGAAACCTCCGATTTCATGCCATCACTCCTCAAATATCACCTCATCTAAATATCTCTGTGAGGGTTGATTTTCAGCAAGAACAAACATACATATGTTGGTGAGGGTGGAGCATAAGCTTTCATGGCAATATCTTAAACACTGAATAAATTTCAACTTGAGTAAGTAACATTATACTCCTCAATAACAGTTGCTTTTGGCCTTAGAAATCAACTTAAATTTAGAAGACATAAATTTAAAAGGGAATTTAAAGAACATTTATACTAATCTAATCCTATATTGTAGTAACTGTCCCAACTGCCATCATTTCCCATCACTAATGACATGCTGTGATATAATACTCGAAAGTTTGTGTCATGAAATGGAACTAGGAACTAGAAACACTGGTAATGCCAGGAGACTGTAGTAGGTATAGCATGAATGCATTTTAACATTTGTGGATCATAAAAACCAATGATTGTAATTAGAGTAGGGTGTAATTCTAGAAAAATATGAGAAAGATTATGAATCCCTAGGCTGAGGATACCAAAGTGTATTGACCAGGAATCTATATTTGGAGCAGTGGTTCTCAACCATCCTAGTGGTTCGACCCTTTAATATAGTTCTGCATGTTGTGGTGACACCCAATCATAAGATTTTTTGTTCCTGCTTCATCATTGTAATTTTGCTCCTGTTACAAATTGTAATGTAAATATCTGATATGCAGGATATCTGATATATGAACCCAAGAAGGGTCACAACCCACATGTTGAGAACCATTGATTTAGAGGATGCTGAGTTGTTAAGGATGACAGCAGAACGCACAGTCTCCATCAAAGTCTGTGAATCATTGAGAAAAGAGAGAGGAAGCAGGATTTAGGAAAACTGCCCAGGGCTAGAGCTCTTGGCTGACAGCTAAGAACCACAGGACTACCCTAATTCAGGTGCCAGTCTCAGCCTACAGGTAGTTTTGCTTGTGCTTTTGGCCATCTCTGCCTGTGCATCAACTTTCCCACAGCCCTTTCCTTGGGTTTATTTCATTTGCTTAAACAATTCCCAGAACTACAGGAAACAGGTTTAATAGTCTGCCATACAAGTGCTAAAAAGGACAGGAATGGTGAGAGCCATAGAGTGAGTGTGGTTGAAGCATTCACAGCTCATATTCTCTGTAGGTAAACCACCACCCAGGACTTTCCACATGGAAACTCCAGAAGTCTATCCTTTCTGATTTCAGTAGTGACTTCATTGCACTGACTTGATAAAAGCATTGATAAACATCAAAATGAGGTTCGACAAAGAGAGTGTGTTCTGATGGCTGTGAACTGGAAGATCCAGGCAAGGTCTCTTTGGCCACTTTGTACACACTGCCAGCACCAACAGTGTGAGGCAGGCAACCTCTGGAAGAAGGAGTCTAAGGACCTCTTATCAGACAAAGGGAAGTCAGAGAATTTATGGAAAATTCAAAGACAAAGTTCAGGAACAGTTAACATCTCTATGATAATCCTGGGAGGAGAAAAAATTCTCATATCAGGGAGGAAATTATGAATCAGGACCTACAGATGAGAAACAGATTTATATAAAATACTAGCTAATAATATGTGTATTAAGTGCAAAATACATATTGTTACTAAAATGGATCAAATCACTTTGATGGATGAAAATTTTATAGCTCAACATACAGATTTAAATTATAAAAGTGGCTGTGTTCTAATTAATTGTTCATAGGCAAATTACTTCCTTTCTTAGTTTGTTCTCTCAACAATCAGAAGAAAACTCCTACCTGCTTGAAGAATGCTTAAGTAGCATCAGTCAATATCCTAACTACAAATTAAATTTTGGGAAACCCCAGGGCACAGTGGCCAGGGTTCACATTGGCCAGGTCATCATGTCCATCCGCACTAAGCTGCAGAATAAGGAACATGTGATTGAGGCTCTTCGTAGAGCCAAGTTCAAATTCCCTGGCCGCCAGAAGATCCACATCTCAAAGAAATGGGGCTTTACTAAGTTTAATGCCGATGAATTTGAAGACATGATTGCTGAGAAGCGACTCATTCCTGATGGCTGTGGGGTCAAATATATTCCTAATCGTGGTCCCCTGGACAAGTGGCGAGCCCTACACTCCTGAGGGCTTTCATGGTGCTCTCCTGTACCCTACCAAATCATGTTCAGTAATAAATCTCACATCCAGTCTGCTTAAAAAAAATTAAATATTCTAGGTTAGGACAAATAGGATCAACATTGAGATGAGACCAAAACTCAAATTACCTTGCCCGGATATTTAACTTCAGTATACTTTAGAGTTTTATTGATTAACTATAAAACATTGGTGATAAATAACTAGTACACAAGTTTCTTTGCAACATTGCAGCAAAATAGTGTACATTCAAAAACATGGGCATAGCACTTCTGGATGGGTTTAGAACATGTGAACCTCAAACACAATGCTTGCCATTTTAAAGGAACTACTCCTAGAAAGGACTGAGCAAAAGCCGATGAGGGAAGGGCTCTCCCATCTCCCAAGGAGATAACATTTAGCCTGTATTATCTGTATTACACCTTCCCCTGTACATGAAAGAGGAGAATGTGCTATAACTGGAGACTGGGAGCAGATGTTATGATGAATTCGTGCAATCAAACCTTTGCTGTGTTCTTTACTGACAGCAGCTTTTCCCCGCATACATTCTAGTCACTTTCCTTTAAGTTACTCCATTTAGAGGATTTTCCTATGTCTTGTTAGTTTTTCATAAAATTCTCTGTTTTAAATGGCCATAGCTTCTTCTTTGAATTTTTCCTATGCACATGAAAATTATTAAATAAATTTTGTTTTGCTCTTATTTGCCTATTGGTTCAGTTTACGGCCCAAGTCACAGAACCTCAGAGAAGTTTGTTTTCACCATGGTGGAACATCATTACCCAAAATACCCTGTTTACTCCTAAAGCAACAACTGACATTTTGGAGGCATCAGAGTCAGTCAAAGAAAAGAAATTTTTGTATCAGCCTCCCAAATATCTGCCTGAAGAGTGTGGCCAGTTAAATAAAATTATTACTAGAGCATGCACACTGGGAAATGCAGTGGGATGGTCTTTCTGTACACTGTGAATATGTGTTGCTCTCATTGGTTGATAAATAGAGATGCTTTGACCTATGGCAAGGCAGGATAGAGCCAGGCAGGAAATCCAAGCAGAGACACAGGAGAAGGGTGGGATCTGGGATATGCTAACCAGCCACAGAGAAAGCAAAGCATACAGAAAATGAGGTAACAAGCCATGAAACACATGGCAAAGCATAGATAAGGAATGTGGATTAATTTATATGTTGGAGCTAGCTAATAATAAATCTGAGGCATCGGCCAACTATTTACAAGTAATATTAAGTCTTGGAGTGATTATTCAGGAACTGGTGGGCAGGAGAGAAGCCTCCATTTACAGGGAAACAATAAAATTGCTCCAACTCACTATTCCATATAGGATTTTGGAGTCTGTCATACTGACAATATTATTTGTAACCTAGGAATTTTTTATTTTTTCTGACATTTCTATTGCAAATGGAAATATCATGCTAGGGTTTCAAACTGTTCCTTTTCCTGCTAAACAGTGTACCCACCATCAAGCCTGGACCTAGGAGAATGAAACCTTTTGAGAATAAAAGAACTGACAAAGTTATTGCATGCAGCTGAAAATTGACCCCTTTGTTTCCTTTCTCCACCCAGTTTGCAAACTTATTTTCCTGATAATATTATTTACATTCAGGGAAATCTGGGGAAAATATGTGAAGTTTTTTTGAACAATCAGCAGATGGTTCATACTCTGCTCCAGAAATTCTACTTGTAGCCTATTTTGTTCTAATCATGGTTTACTTACTTCCCACTGGATAAGATACACATAGAAGTAGTGAGGAATGGGGAACTAAAATGCAGTTGATTCTGCCCTAGAATCCATATTCTGAGCAAATTCTTTCCTGTTTCACTAACTGTAAACATTACAAACTTTCCAGAGGAAACCATTCTGCCATCATGAGGTCTCACAGAGTGATGACACTTCGCATGACCTTATGGACCTATTTCCTGCCTTTGGAGATAGTCACACTGCATGTTCAGTGGAAGGATTGATTGTAATCCAAGTATTCATGTTGACATCAGGACCATGGCAAAGATATTAGTAACTAAGACTATTCCTCATTTTGACATTCCATTATAGATTGAATTTGACTAAGAAACTCACATTTTCATCATAAGCAAACTATTTGTTCACAATAATTATTTTATTCTCAAAATAATTTTATAATTGATAACATCCTTAATAATCAGGACAAGATGGAAAATCTAAACACAAAAATTAAAAATATACTTATGGAAAATTCCAGTCAAGAAATTGAACTATAAATAACCAAAATGGGCCTGCCTTTATAATAACTGAAAACTTCAGTTATGAACATAAATGCTTCTGGTGATTTTATGCTTAGCAACATCTCGTGCTTAAAAAAAAAGAACCACCCTTCTATTCCCAGAGTGAATGAGCTTTCCAGGTACAATTAGATGTTATGATTTACAATACACAGGAACTAACTGGCATACGTACATGGGACATATTGCACATGAACAAAGGAGAGCCTCCACTGAACAATAATTCTTGCCATTGCTCTCAGCCAAGAAGTCAAGTGCCTATCAAGAAGCTTAGGAAATACTGTGCACTGTTACCTGGCTTGGAAGGGTCTTATGAGGATCTCCTCACCACCTGCACTTCCATTTTAATAACAGACACTCCTCTTGCTCCCAAGAGGATCATGGCCTAGCTAGACTCACCAACATTTCCAGGACAGCTGGAGTACTATCTCAACAGGTGACCTCATAGAAAGAACTCCAAAGTCAATTCAAGCTCCTAGAAGCAAATGACATCACAAAGTAGCAGATTTTCCCAAGATCACAGATCAAGAAACTTTACTCTCTCTTTTGCCTATTTTAGACTCTCACTTGCCCTAGGGAGAACATATTTTTAATACAAGTCTTCCTCTCTTCTCAATCTATCCTGCTCAACCTCTGATTTTCTGGGAGGGGCTTTATTTCAACCTTGTCTCTCTTATCAGCCTCACTGTTTTCCTAAGAGAAGCATGATTTTTATAGTGCCTTACAACTGTTGTCCAAATTTTTGTCATGTTAACTGATCAGTCTAATTGTTAATAATGCCAGTATCTCACTAATACCAAAAATATGAATTGCATTCATCTCTGCAAATATGGTCATCAAGCAGACGTATGGTAGCAGAAGGATGAATGAAGGGATGGCATCTGTGACCAGACAAGAATGTCCCGCTGTCCTTCCTGCAGGTGAGATCCTCAGGCCTAAGAAAAAGCTCATGCAATGTCTTTTGTTTATGGACTATTCACCCCAAAACAGTCACCTGCAGATAAACAACCACTCTACAAAGAGGAGTGTGCACAGCCCTGTGAGAAAATGCTGCTTACTAAGAATTCTATGACACGGAGTATCTATGTTATATGTGTGAACAGTAGACACCAGCACTACCCATCAGACAATTAAGATTCAACCTCTTTATTGGACTGACATAGTCACAAGGTTGGAAGATGAATTGAATGAGGCAGTATGCTTGCATGTGTTCTTTTCAGTGTATTTCCTCCTAACTCAACTCTCATTACTCAGGTCCTGAACTGATTCTTTTCCCCACAGACACAAATTTAGCTTTTACTTTAAGATAATTTACACTGAAGTTTTCAACAAAGAAACAAATGGTTTCGGAACACTCCATGGAAAAATATGTCATTTAGGCATATTAAGTTTTTGAGCTAAAGATGATGAGGGAACAATAAATGTAGGAAGGACTCTTCCACTTTCTGCAACATAGAAAATCCCTCATGTGTGTATAACCAGCCCCGGAGTAGGACATGAGACTATTCTGGACACTTGGCACCTGTAGTGAACACTAAATGAATATAAGCAAGCCTAGCAATTCATTCATTTCCAACATATATTTCACTTTCTCAAAAATTATTATACTTTACAAGCTCAAACTCCCTTTTCTCTTTGTACTATCAATTTTCACAGTTTAGTATTCTTTACTTTTTTCTTTATTTTTCTTTTCACGTTTAAAAGTTCTTGGTACTAGTTGCTTCTTCACTTCTTTTGGTCTTCCTTATCTCAAGAAGTCTCCTTTGTATTTGCAAAATTATTAAATAAAATGTATGTTCTCTGTTAATCTGCCTTTGGTTTATTCAATCAGACACAAAGAACTTAAAAAGAATAAAGACAAGATTTATTTGTTTTGCTTTGTTTGTTTTCCTTTATACTTGGCACATAAGAGAAAACAAAACAGGTTTCTGCAGTGGAGTGTCATACCAACCACACCCCAGGACAGGCCTCACGCCCAGGAAGAGTCAGCTGACACAACACAAAACAAATTCTGTGGTTTGGGGCGTGTGTGGGGGGGTGTACCATTGTTTTGCACTTTTTGTTTTATTGGGTTTTTTGTTTGTTTTAACTTTTTTAAGTTTGCAATTATATTTATGTACAGAAAACGTAGCAGTATACATTTAACCCAGTTTAGTAGCAAGGTCTAAGGCCTTGCTTTTTCCAGTTTGGCAATTTAAGTTACAGATTTGGGACCCAGGGTGCTGCCTCCCCAGTGGCTGCAGATCTCATCAGAGTTAACCTGTGTGAAGACAGCAGTGGAACATGTCCAGCTGTAGACCTGACACACCAGCCTGGCCTTTTCCTTGATGATGCAGTAGGGGACCCCCATCTTCCAACACAGAGCAGGCAGAAAGACCACTAGCTCAATGGGGTCTACATTGTGGGCAGTCACCACCAGCTGAGCCTTCTTGTTTTCCACCAAGGTGGTGACTGTATTGACCTCTGCTCGAAGAACAGGTGGTCTCTTACTCGGGACATCCCCTTTGGCAGCAGCTTTCTTCTCAGTCTGGGTCAGCAGCCTTGCTTCCTCTTTGTCACTGGCCTGTACTGGCGGGCAAGCTCAAGCAGCTGTGTGGTTGTTTGCTGACCCAGGGCCTGGTGGAGCTGGCTAATGGCAGGAGGCACTTTGAGCCATTTACAAAAGGATGGCCCTTTGCCGCTGCAGCCTAATGTAGCTGGGTCATTTGACGAAGTGTGTTTGAGCTGGCCTTTTCTCAAAGGATTCAACACCTTTTTGGCCTCCTGTTTCTTCACAACGGTGGGGATTG